CTATTTATTTCAAGTGACCCATCTTCGCATTAGCCACGCTGATCCCAGTGTTTGCGTTCTATTCGTTTCCTGGCATTCGTCATCCACGAAGGCTTTTAAACTTTCAGCGTGTAGATTCAGCTGGTGTTTGAGAACTGTTGTCCTATTCTTTAGGAATATGGTTGAATACTGGCGGAGTCGATTCTCTTTCGATTCCTGGGATAGCTGTGCTGAAGCATTCTTGCGTGAATTTGAGGGAGAGAGTTGGAAAGAAGAAGTTTGGTACCAGTTTCGCAACCCGAGATAGATGAGCGGGTTGTCGAGCCAGGGGAGAACATCATGATTTATTTTTAACCGTTCATTCAGTCTAATTTCTTAACATGGTAGTGTCCATTGTCAAGATGGCAGTGAAATTCCATTGTGCAACAGTAGTAACTTTCCCACGGTATGGCAATAAAGTTTTCATGTGATGAAATGTTTTCATGTCATCTGCGAACGAGATTCTCTATATTGACCAGAAACTGGTATGTGCGTAATCAGAACGCCCAAGTTTTTTTTTCAGCGAAGTTATTACCATCATTTTCCTCATGTTATTCCTAGAGAACTCCAATTAGCAGCGCTAGTCTTTCCTTGAAATGTTGAACTTGCTCGTGGAGCCGATGTAGTCCTCCCAGTAGTCCCAGTCAAGTTGAACCGTTATGCCACCTTTTGGCTTAGTGGGAGTGTGTACTGCAGTTGTTAGAGGCGCCCTGCAATACACATGGGATCGATCCCCGCGTTCAAGGCTCATCAAGCCTTCCGTCTTTCCGGGGGCGGCAAATTGCAATCAGACCTGTCTGGGAGGATAACAGCACTGATTCGATATGTCGGCAGGCAACCGCGAGCCATTGTGAAGGTCAGATATGCATTCAATCACTTCCAACGATGCTTATTAAAGTCGAATGCATGGCGCATCCCTCAGGGATTGATCAACGCCGAGAGTTTTGTCCTTTTTATCCTTTATGTTTGTCCTAATGGATTTGAGCACGTACGCATACATTGTTGTAATATCTTCTGTTATCTGTATATCTTATGACTGGAAATCGGAAGCGTGTCAAACATGAAAATAAACAGGTGCTTAGGACACAACAAACACTGCAAAATGTTGTAGACATCTGCAAAGAAAAACAAGAATATACCTTGCAACGAAGTTTCTATAATTTTATCGAAGCTGGGAGTTTGATAGTATATCCCATTGAGTCACTAATGGTGTAAATAGAAAAAGGAAACCTCGTATGGCACCGAACACATCGAAAAACCAGCTTTGGCTCTTGGGTTGTTGACGCTATACTTTGTCATTCCTATTTTTTTTCCCAAGCAGTTGGTAATGTGGTTCACGTGGAGTCCATGAGTACCATATGACTAATCGTGGGCTAAGGAAAATCTTGGTGGATTTAGGTTCTAAGAAAAACGCTTTACTCATAGGTTCTCAGAATTCCTAACTCCACTGAAAGGTAGTCTCCATAGTTGTGAGCGGTAATTCGATACCTCCGATCAATCTCCATCATAAGTGCGAAGCGGCAGACCTTTGAGGAAAAGTCGTCAATCGAATGTATTCGACTTAGCCACTACATTTTGGATTGACTGCAGATGTCTTTTATTTGAGGGACTCAGGGTTATCAGTGCAACTTCATAACGTTGAGGATGGAAAGTTAAACACGAATAAGAGACGCTTTTATGCGTGTTTTTAGGCATAGATAGCTTCAAAAGTTGGTCTCCAAGTTTCTACTGCTGCGACAGATAGACTACTACCTGCCCTTTGTAGATAATCTCATTTCTCTCCTTCTTTCTCTTGGCGCTGCAGACGAACATCATTAAACTCTTCGTCGCAATGTGTGTCATCGACCTTCTGTTTTGCCATTGGAGGTTGCCGCAATAAGAGGTTTAATCGTATATTAGCGGTTGTCTCACCATCCAGTGTCGTAGACACAAAGGTGTGAGGTGAGGGCTGAGGCCGATTGTCTTCTGGTCGAGCAGGTCTTTTTCTTCAAAATTCATAAGAGTCACACGACTACGATGCCCCATCGTTGTCACTACTGGTAGTGGTCGGCCTTTGTTGGTTAGAGAAGTTTACCGTTTTACGAATGCCTTTTTTTTCAAGGCGACAGTGATCGCTGACCTGTTTGACGAGCTCTGATGAAAATGTTAAAATTTTTAGTTTATGTAGCTCTATAAAGTTATGGAGCTTCTAGTACACATATTTTTGGAGCTGATGAACCGTTGAGAGATTGCTGTTATTAAATCGTAAAGGATGATTTTTAAATAGGAGGAAAGAAGGTCTTGTCCTCGCTCATCGCTCAATATCGATCTTTTTCATTTCAGACCCCGACAAATTTCAATCAACTCCGTCAACTGGTTCAGCGAAACAACGACCTACTTCGAGAGATAGTCTTCGCATTCGAGGAGAAGTACATAAATCGGTGTTTTTACTCGGGTTATGTCTGATTTTTTGAAGAAATGGTATAGTAAATCATCACCACAAATTTGTTTATTGTTTTAGATTTGGGTGGTTATGTAAATACTCCTCTTAACGAGTTACCTCCTCATCGTGTCCCGAAGCTGTTTCTGGGTGTCGGACCCAAGCTGAGACGGAGTCCCGCGTTTCCAACAGGAAGCACAGCTAAGAGTAAACCAATGCCAGGATCTACCACCGTCCTGGTATCAAACTAGTCGCATGGTGGCAAAACTCCCTCTGATCCACAAGGGCGCCGAATGTTGTGGTGGTGACGGCCTGGGACAGACTTTGTTCCGGCTGACCTCGCGACTCCAGAGAATCGCATTGGTTAAACCAGCAACAGTCCGAAAAATGGAAATTGTGATGGGATCCGTAAAACCAGTGAGGATGGGCCATCTAAGTATCCAAATTTGCAGATACTTAGCACCCACTCCTTAATGTGTTAACAAAAATTCATGTTTGCTCGGTATCATCCTTTGCAAATGCTACCTCTATCAAATGAGATATTCATGAGAAGATTTCCTCATCATGACCGTTTACTGCTTAATTTTTCCTTCTTCTCTTCCATCACGTACATTCATACTCGATTGAGCAGTGCACATCTCCAGCTTGATATGTCATCGAGGTAGGGGGTCGGTGTCCTCTCAAGAGGCTCGTTATGTCTTCACCGTTGCACTGTTTTTCTTCTAGGAACGACTTTCATGGCATCTGAGATTGGTTTTTGTCAATTCTGTTTTATTCTGCATTAACAACTTTCCAGATATGCTGAACTGTTTATCACAAGAAGTTATAGCACTGAAATGGGGATTACTTAATCCTAAGAGTACTTTTGTATTTCTTGGAAGTGAAACAACCTTTTGTGGTCAAACTATGTGTAGATACCTTCTCTCAGAAGCCATGTAAATGAAGGACCTTATATTAAAATTGTATTGGCCTACATATCTTTCGAGCGTACTAGTTGAATAGAAGAGATTTAAGCAAATTTTTCGGGATTTTATAACTTTATTAAATAAAGTGTATTTTGGTCACCCACCACTTATTTCTAACCCATTGGTTGTTGAACTAACTACATGAGGTCATTTCTGCTGCAATTTAGTGATTGCGGAACAAAAAAATTGTGGACTCTATTTTTGATGTACTTGCTAGTTATTGATCTTGTCTTGTTTATCGGAACTATCAATTGTCGAAAAGACGAAAGTCATGAGGATACAAGCGAGATATGAATGTGTCGTTTTCTTGTTCAGCAATCGCGAGGTTTTTAAACAGCATGCATTTACTTCCATAAAAAACAATACAATACAACGCTAGCTGACGTTTCGGCAGTATCGCCATCTTCAGAGCCTCGAAGGGTGTACTGATATGCAATCTATTAGGCCAAACGCTTCAATACCACTTACAAAAGGACGGAAAACTCTATGGTAATTGCATGGTTAACAGCTTCTTGAAAAACACCGCTTTTTACGTGACTTCCAATGAGGAAGTTTAGAACAGCTGATTATAGTCGCATATGGTTGACGACTGCACCATCCCACATCAGAAATTGATGCGAACATACGGGGTCAGGTCGCATATGACCTCTGGGCATTCATCCCTGCTATTCATTGTAAGGTTTTTGGCACTTATCCAAAAAGCCTGAAGAAGTTTTCGCGCTGGTGTTTTAGCCTCCCGTGCAAGGATATTGACTTTTACTTCAAAATCGTCTCCGCCATGCTTTTGTATCCTATGCGTGCCTAGTGGGATGCTTCGTCTTAGTTTTCGTTTGCCATCTAGGTGCCTTTTATACGGATACACAAAGGTCTGCTCGTTTCGCCAACATATTCATCTCCGCAATTATTACAAGAGATCAAGTATATCGTACCTGAACTCGTAATCACCGTCCCTGCCGTAAGGGCAAATTACGCAATTTGTTGTTTTACATAGACGGTCATAGAGGCGGTCAGGAACTAATAGACGACGTAGAGTAGCCGGTGGTATTTCAACTATCGCTACCGATTCCTCTAGACCTGCCGTTCTTAAGCATCGTTTTATAGCTACGCTTACTTCATCGCTTATGAAAGGAGACATAAACGGGACTTTCTTTTGGTCAAGTATTTCGCGTGGGCGCGACGCTCTCCTTCTAAGCTTATCTCGTGGGATTACTATTTCGTAGCCATTGGTGATGGCTATTTGCCGGGCCAAGTCGCGTGATTCTTCGTTTAGTGCCCTGGTAGTGCACACAGAGGTGGCTGTTCGAAACATGTTTCTCACAATCGCCCTCTTTGTGTGTGAACGGTGGGAAGAAAGGAAATGAACAAGAATGTTCTAGTTACTTGGCTTTCGGTACCACTTTGTCAAGTAACCGCTACTCGAAAGGCTTATTTGAACGTTCAAAAAAGGAAGCCAGTTTTTTCTCGGTTTGATAGTATCCTTGCACAGGAGGCTAAAACACCAGCACGAAAACTTTTTGAGGCTTTTTGGATAAGTGCCAAAAACCCTACAATGAATAGCAAGGATGAATGCTCAGAGGTCGTACGCGACCTGACCCCGTATGTTCGCATCGATTTCTGATGTGGGATGGTGCAGTCATCAACCGTATGTGGCTATAATCAGCTGTTCTAAACCCATTGGAAGTCACGAAAAAGCGGTGGGTTTTTTCGAGAAGTTGTTGATCATGTAATTACCAAAGAGTCTTTCGTCTTTTTCTAAGTGTTATTGAAGCGTTTGGTCTAGTAGATTGTATATCAGTATACCCTTCCAGGCTCTGAAGAAGGCGATACTGCCGAAACGTCAGCTAGCGTTGTATTGTATTGTTTTTTATGGAAGTAAATGTATGCTGTTTAAAAACTTCGCAATTGCTGAACAAGAAAACGACACATTCATATTCCAATGCCGAGGTTAAGAGAAAGTCGATCCTGGGATCTATTACGAGCGAGATATTTTTCCCAGCACTGATTCTGTATCGTCTTACGACCTATCTTCGCAGTCTGTGCTTGAAAGGTACTACAGGGTAACTTCGTTTTCTCTAGGATACTGTTTTGTATGGAATTGGCTAGTGAGTAATACTTTCTTGGATGATCAAGCTAACACAACGTTGATTAAAAAGACTTTGTTCCGCCAACGTTTCGACGTCTTCGTCTTCGTCGATTGTTCGCAGTTGTTTATCCTCGAGTTGTGGGTCTCAATACTCGTTTGAGTCGAATTTTCTTGAATAGAGCACTACTCGAGTGAAGTAGCCAGACTCAGTGGTGCCCTTTTGTACCGGACAGTTGTTGTTATAGTGATTGTATGTCAAGAACTTACTTTCTCCAGACAATCCATCCTGTAGCAGTTGGTATCATTATCAGCTAGCACAAGTGTAAAACCGGTTAACATCTGAAGTCGAAGTATCAGCAACAGATCAGTGGTGATCATTGCAGAATTCTGCTCGAAGCGAGCGACCTCGTAATCCATCTAGGTAAAACCGTGAACGTCATCAGTAGTTGTGTAATCTCTTAGCAAAGAACGATTACTGCAAACGTTCCGATATAATCTACATGATATATTACAGACACTGTGTCAAAGGTGGCAGGCACACTAAGCGGGCGACTCTTTCATCGAAGAAGATGTATAAAAGAAGGCTGTTCACCTGCTGGGTTGAAGGGACCTTTCACGAAATCGGCTAGACGGTAGTACTTTTTGTTCGGTTTCGAAGGACACGACATGGCTGAAGTGTCTTTTGATGAATGGCAACCTTTTATTTATCTCAACGCCGACATTTGGAGATGTTTTTTTATATTTTGGACTTAATTAATACAGTAAGGATCGTATTGGTCGCAGGCGCACTGCAATACACATTTGACCCACATCCCACGCTTAGCAACTCTTCCAACCCTTCGAAGTCGGTAATTTGGTACTATCCTTGTCTGGAGAGAATGGCAGCACTGGCTCGATACATCGGTAGGCCACCGCGAGTTATTATGTACGCCAGATATTTAATCAATCACCTCTAACGATGCTTAATGAAGTCAATACATGCGCCTCCCTCAGGGGTTGGTCAACCACGACAGCTTTATCTTTTGTCCTTTTTCTTCACATTAGCAAGCATAGTAAAATTAATAAGTTTGATATAACTGATTGGTTGTGATTAGTTCATTTTGTGGAATTCTTGTTCAGTGATTAACTGGCTCTTTCCAATGGTTTACCGCCTCATCGTGGCTGCGGAGTGTTCCTGGGTGTCGGACGGCGATGTACAGCGGAGGGATTCTTCTCTCGGCAGGATCCTCCAAGCTGAGAACGGGTTCGGCGTTTCCATCGGAGAGCTTAGCTAAGAGTAAACCAATACCAGGATCCATCACAGTCCTGGTATCAAAGTCACATGGTGGCAAATCTCCCCCTGATCCACAGGGGCTGTGGCTGGTTGTGGTGATGAAGACGGGGGTAGACTTTGGCCAGGCTGACTTCGAGATTCCAGGGATCCACAATGGTTTAACCAGCAGATCTTCGAGCAATGGAGATTATGTTAGGACCCGCAAAACCTGTGAGGACGGGCCATTCAAGTGTCAAGTAATTAACTGACTTTACTTAACTTTCGAGCTAGCAAGTGGTTCTTGTTAAGATTTGAGTATATTTGAACAAGCTTAGTTCATCATGTACAAGGTAGCCTATCCTCCTTTGAGAAGGAAATAGCTTTTTCTTTCCAGTATTACTTTCTCTTGGAAAACCACCTCTATTCTATGAGAATATATTTGTTGAATAGAACTGTTTATAGGTTATGTTTTATTCATCTTTAAGGGCAGCGCTCGACTTCCAATATTCGAAAGCACTGAAGAGGATCTCGGCGAGTCTACACAAAGTCACCCAACAAGCAGAATGGTATTTATTATTTCCTTTTTGATATAAAACTATGCAAATTCTCTGGCAGAGAAAGATGGCGACTAAGTAGATCCTTACAAAGTAATAGAACTTACGTCTGTTCTTTAGGTGATGTTTAAATTATATTATGGTTCCAGTAAGGGTAAACATTCATGGTGATGATCAGTTTCGTGTAGATATGGAGACAGGGCCACCATTATTTTACCTCACCGTGACGGGAGAAGTTTATTGAAACACTAAGTGAATGATGGAAAAAAGCATGACGCAAGAAGCACTTAATGAGGAATAATCGCCTTGTTAGTCAACTAAAAAATAGTTGCATACAGTAGCTAAGAATAGCAAAATAATGTTTTTCGAACTGACCGTCATTTAACCTCTGTGGTAATAATCAGTACCTTCTTGATTTGTTAAGCTAACACGAAGTTGATGAAAATGTCTATACCGTTAACGTTTGGACGTCTTCGTCTTCATCAGCGCCGATGATTCGAGTCGGTGGTCCGCAGTCGTTCGAACAACTCTGGTAAAGACGAAGACGTCGAAACGTTAGCCAAACAAACATCTTTCTCAACCTCGTGGGACACTTATAGCGCACTGGTTAGAGGCCCCCTGCAATACACATGTGATCGATCCCGCACCCCAGGCGGCTCACCAAGTCCTCCATCGCTCCGGAGTCGGCAAATTGGCACCAGACTTCTCTGAGAGGATAGCAGCACTAGCTCGATTTATCGGTGGGCAACCGCAAGTTATTGGAAAGGCCACATATGCATTCGTTCACCTCTAGCGATAGTTATTGAAGTCGAATGCGTTGCGCATCTCTCAGGGATTGATCAAGTCCAAGTGGTTCATCCTTTACCTTTCTTATTCCAAAAATATAGCTAGGAATCTTTCGAAGCCTTTGTTTGTTTCAGTGACATCGACAAAGGATGGACTTCTGTTGCAGAGCATTTCGACGTTCAAGCGACTATTCATAGGTGAACCAAGAATTTATTGACTTTCGTTTGTTTTTCCGTAGTTGAACTTCGAATCCATCATTCCTGGTCGACCAGCTTCATCTTCTACAGTAATCTCGGCTCCGCACTCACCGATGATGTTATCCAGCCGCTGCGTTCAATTCAAAACACTGAGGCGAAAACCATTCGCGCGGTACGTTTTTTTTAAAGGAATCCACATTTGTTCTCGAAATGGTCAATGTATACATATTATTGCCGCTGAAGATGTTTTTGTTTTCTTAAGCATATAATTTGCTTCAGTGTAAAACAGTATTAATGGTATAAATACTAATGTTAACAGTATAAAGATTGTAATACAGGAGTTGCCTGCTTCGCTTAGCTTTTGTTGATGCAATGCGAATAACATGTATCATGCAAAGCAATAAAAATTTGTCGTCTCTAGAAAAGTTATAATCACCCTTTAGGCAGCGTTGTTCGTCGATCGCGAAGCTCGTAAACTGAAAGAACGTAAGGAGTCAACGATGCGAATGAAACGAATACTTTATGACAGTAGTAAACAACTCGAGAAACTCGAGCAAGCTCTCATTTCATCGGCTGGAGAACGTGTGAGCTCTTGTGTCTATTTGTGTTGTCTTATGTTTTTTGCGATACAAACGGCGTGCTGATGGACATATTTGCTTGGTTGTGGCTTCTATTGCAATTGATTTATTCTTCGTATTTTTGTTCAGCAAACGCGAGGTTCTTTATTCACGAATAAGCTGACGTTTCGGCGGATTTCGCCTTCCTCAGAGCCGCTTTCTATGAGGTTTCCACCAAGTATGTCGCGTGAAGACCAACCGCACAGAAATCAGATGAAAGCATAATGTGGCCCTCACATCAGAATAACAGTCTCATATACTGCTCTATATCACGCGTGATAATGAGGCATTCTTCCCTGCGGTTCATTTTCGGATTTCTGGAGTTAATCCAGAATGCCTCGAGAGCGCCAGCTGGTTCGTAACCGCCTGTATGACCGTCTATGTGCAACTCAAAATTGCGTAATTTGCCCCAGTGGTAGAGACGATGATTGCATGAGCTCGGGTATAGTTTATCTGATCTCCTGTAAGACGTGCGGTGACGAATACATTGGCGAAACGGGCAGATCCCTGTGTCCGCATAATATAACACCTAGCCGTGAAACATAAACCAAATACCCCGCTAAGCACGCATAGAACCCAGAGACATAACGGGGAGGACTTTGAAGTGTGTCACGATCCTCGCACACGAATCAAGAACACAAGCGCGCAAAGCTCTCGAAGCAAGGCGTTCTGGATTAATTCCAGAAATCCGGAAATGAACCGCAGGGAAGAATGCCTCATTATCACGCGTGATATAGAGCAGTATATAAGACTGTTATTCTGATGTGAGGGCCACATTATGCTTCCATCTGATTTCTGTGCGGTTGGTCTTCACGCGACATACTTAGTGGAAACCTCATAGAAAGCGGTGAATGAGCAAAGCTGTCTTCAATGTGGTTGAAATCTTGGTTTAGAGTTTCTTTGTTTGGTTATGGAAGCGTCTGGCCGAGTAGATTGCGATCAACTTGACCTTTCCAGGCCCTGAGAAAGGCGAAATCCGCCGAAACGTCAGCTTATTCGTGAATAAAGAATAATAACACCTCGCGTTTGCTCAACAAAAATGCAAAAAATTACTTGATCAATGCCGAGGTTAATAGAAAGTCGGTCGTGGGAGCTACAATTGATTTAATTCTTAACCAAAGTGAAAGGCACATATTTTTGACGTAATCCATTCTTCATTAGTAATTCCCAAGACCTACTTTCTGTTAACCTCGGCATTAATTGATAATTCAATGTTTTTCATCAATAAGCAGACACGAGGTTGTTAATATAGAATTTATTAGAACACAATTGCTGACGTTTCGGCGGTTTCGCCTTCTTCAGAGCCTGGAAAGGTCAAATTGAGATGTGATCTACTCAGCCAAACACTTTCACAACCCTAGCAGATAAAACTTGACAATTCGATTTGCATTCGCATAAGAAACAACTTCATTCAAACACCTACCGTTTATTTGTTGTAAGTATTTAAGTTAGTTGGCGGATAGCCGCCGCACAGAGTAATACATGGTCGATAACTGTGTCCATGTCAGGTCATTGGATCAGCCTGAGGTATGGCGCCAGGTCACGCGTGATGACAAGACACTCCTCCTTGCGGTTCATT